TAGTGTTCTTTTCTTTATTCTGGTTTCATTTTCACACTAAGTGAGCAGTGTGTGTGTGTGTGTGTGTTGGCTTATACCTTATGGGCTGAAGTGTGGGGGTTAATGAAGAGCAGTAAATGAAATCCTTTATTGTGTTTGATATAATGTCAGCTTCCATTAGGGAAACTGGTGTTAGGAATGATTGCTAGACGTTTGGGGCCAGGAAAGAGGTGCATGTGTGTGTATTTGTGAAGGACTGTGTGTGTGTGTGTGTGTGTGTTTTCCCGCATGCTTGTGTGCACACCCCAGGGCATGGCAGAGGCACCGAGTGTGTTCTGTAATTATAAAATCATTAGCAGGTGTCCAGAGGAGATATGAATATAACTGTAATCTGTCCCCACCCATGATGAAGCACTTGTCTCACTCTCAAATGTCAGCCTGTCTTCAGCCAACCCACTGAGAGAGCTCACACAGCCAAATTCAAAAAATGTTGTTCCAGCAACCACATTTACTTATAACATGTACCCCCTATATATGACAGCCTTTGGTACCAACCATTTTTTCAAATCTGGGATTGTTCGGCTGTGCTTTACCAGGATAATTCACCTGTCAAGGTCCTCTTCATATGTCATGAAATTTTGGGCTTTATAAGCAGTGACCTTTGCTTGCAAGGAGATTTTGAAGTTTAAATCTGTAACTACAAGCAAAAGATGCCATTGAAATAGCATACAGTATGTACCAAAGACATGAAAATACACTGACCAAACAACCTTATAGACAGACAGAGAAGATAGACAGGCATGTGTCTGGTCAGACTTAAAAACCAGCAGGCATTGTAGCCCTGGAAAGGAGACAAAGTCACATTGTAATCTAGGGCAGAGGGGCGGTTTCTATAGCAACAGTAGGCATCTAACCTACGCGCCGCTGCTTTTGGTAAAATCTGAAATTGGCCGAGAGGAGATTGGTATTGAGGATAGAGAAATTGGGAAAGATGAAGATAAGACGTGGCAGAGAGTAGGAGGAGGTGAGACGGGGCAAAGGGAGGAGAGAGGAAGCAGATCAAGATAAGGGTGACGAGAGCACAAAGGGTAGGAGATGAGTAGAGGAACGCTGATGTAAGGGAGGGGCTGGAGATCATCACCTGACCTCAGTGTTTGTCTCCTGTTTGGAATTTGTTGGCCCCCTCAGTGTGATAGATTTAATTTACTGATAGCACTTTGTGTCGGTGGGAATTTCTCAGACTTTGTGTTCTTGTGTGTGCATCTGTTGTATGTGTGCGTAAAGGTAGAAGTGAGTGAGCAATATGGAATTACCGTCACTTAGGTGTACTTTTTTTTTTTTTTTTTTTTTTGATAAAGCTGGAAAGCGATACAAAGCCTTCTCAGTGAGTTTAGATAGTCATCATTCCATTAGACAAACACTCTACAAATGGACTTAGTTCTGTGGCTACTCTCCCTAGAAGTGGGAGACCAGTTAGGAATATTAACCCAGTGGAGTTGTTGTAAAAGAATCTCATGAGAGCCACTCACACTAGACATCCTAAGAACATGTCTGAGCTGAAGCAGCTCTGTGAGCAAGAATGGTACAAACTTCCTCCTGAACACACTGAGCAGGTCTGATTCACAGACTTCAGTAAGAAAGTATGGAAGCAAACAGATTCACAGAAGACTGGCTCCTCTGTACGCGGTATTAGGCAGGTGGTCATAACGTTATGGCTGATTGGTGTGTGTGTGTGTGTGTGTGTATATATATACACACTTACCGGCCACTTTATTAGGTACAGCTGTAGAATTGTAGGCAATTCACTGCAACACTTCTGCCTTAACATCTGTGTTTATGAAACTCAGACTGTTTCAGTTTTTGGTGAAATTGTGATAAATGTATAAATGAAGTTATATGTTTGTTATTGAGGTCATAGTTAAAGGTGATGTTGTACTGGACTACATTGCATTCGGAGGTGTTCCTAATATTCTGACCTTCTCATGTATGTAGCCGGGGAGGATAAAAATATAGACGCTTCTAAATATAATGTAATCCAGTAGTTTTGGAGTGAATTAAGTATGAGGTAACTGTTGGCTTGGTGTTGATTCAGATGTGTTTAACCTAGACCCTGAGCCCATTGAGACCTGTGACCAGCCACAGCAGATGGCCACGCTACCCTGGGGGTTGCTCAGAGGGTCATGGCGGCCTAGGACTCATCCACATGGAGCTAACTCCTGTGTGGTGTGTGGTTACATGTTGTTGCACTCATGAGAAGTGCTACAGTATAACTCCAGGTGCTCATGTTATTACAGTATGTTAAGAGTTTTTCATCATATTGCATAAGACAAAAACTTTAAACAGGTTCTAGCACAAACTATAAAAAGAGCTTATTTTACTCAGTGAATCTATAGGTGTGTGTGTAATGAATTAGAATTTTCCTTCCAGTAAATACCATTGCTGCTCCCGGTCATTTCCTGTCTTCTGTATCAGATTAAAGCTCCCTCCTTAGTTAGCATTCAGAAGCACTATTTAAACATTTCATATCATACTTCACTGATGAGTGACTCTCTAAGAGAAGTTGTAATTTCTGACTTCAGTATAAAAAGAGGTAATGTGGTTAAATTAAACACAGCCACACAAGGAGGCAGTATGTGTTACTAATGCTTATACTAAAGCTGCCAATAAGATTTTACTCTAAGTGGTGATTATTTTATGTACTTGGTGCAGGTTCAGCTGGAGTGGTGTGTACAGGATAACAGTATAATAAGGTAAACACAGCTGTCCAGCTGTGCAAACAGACATGAGCCCAATTAAACTGTTAGATGGGTGATAAATAAAGGAAAAGCCAACGTAAAATGTCTTTAAACTGTGTTGGCCACTCAGCACCTCTGCAGTGCTCCCTGGCACAGATTGTCTGAGTCTGCTGTAGAGAGAAACACCATTCTTCTGAAATGTATTGCTTCACTTGGTGTTTGATGATGGTGGAGGGTGGTGCTGTCTAACATGTCTGTCCAAAATCCACTATAGTGATTGCAAAGGCTATAGCAAAGATGTATGACTCACTTAATTTGTATGCCAATCAAACATCCAGTGATGTCTTAGATGACTGAAGCATCTGCATTGTTTCTCTGCTCATTCATCCAGATATTCTTTTATTGATCACTTGTCTGAGTATTAGTGGTAATGGCTCCTTGCTGAAGTTTCTCTTTAGGAATGTGTGGTATATTTTTGGGTCTAATATTTGAGTAAAGTTGGTGGAAGGTGTCCTTTGGGTGGGAAGAACCAAGAGTTTATGTACATAAAGCAGTCCTGAATAAGTTAAGTGAGTTGTAATGCCTCAGCAATGAGAGTAAACTCTTTACAAGACAAGGGACTAGTCTAAGCAGGACTGTGCTCCAGATCAATCTTGCCAGCAGACACACTGTTGCTCTGCCACAGTCTCTCTCCTCTCTCTGCAGAGGCGCAGGCTATTTTTATCCCTGGTATCTCTTGCCCCACTGCACCCACCACCACCCATCTCTCTCCTCTCATTTCGTTCCTTCATATTGCCCCAGCTTCAGCCCCAATCATAACCCTCCAACTTAACCCAGTGATCGGCGGTGATCCCTCCACTGAGCTCCTTTCTTTTCATCCTCACTCCTGATCTCTCACAGAGCTGGGGAGGCAGAGGGAGTGCTGGAAAGTGGGGGGTAGGGGGGCAGATTGTGCTCCTGCTCGATCTTGTCCGCTGTCATTCTCCAAAGACACAAGCATCCAAGCTAGTCTGTCCCATGTTTGGTGTCAGTGTGAGTTTTGTTCATACCATGCTGTTAGGGGCTTAGCTGAGCAGATGAGTGACTCTCTGATTAGCACTGGAAGCCAGTCAAGACCATAGTCATGGCATGTAGAGAGGCTCTTATGCTGAAGGGAGCTGAGAGGAAGATGGGGACTGACAGAAAAAGAAAATTCTTGTGCCTATAGCTAGGTGTGTTTCTGTAAAAGTTAAACAAATGCAGGGAGTGCGTTTGTGAGACGGCAAGAGAGAGATAAAAAGAGTGAAGAGCGAAATGGTGAAAGCAAGCAAGAGACAAACCGATATGGAGAAAAATATGTCAGGCTGAGTACATCAATGTGTAAGACTTACTGTGCCAATAAAGAAGACTCTCTCGTTCTCTGTCAGCCATTCTCTCTCGTCAGACCGTGACCACAGCTCTCCCAGTGAGAGTGAGTCAGTCACTGTGGTGCCCTTGAGAGTGCGTCCACTGCCATCCTCCTCATGATAATGAGGCAGGCCCCACGGACGCTGCTCTCTCCATGCAGCCCCTGCCCACCCTCTTGCCTGCGTCTGCGGGAGATAAGGATGCCAGTTCAGAGGAGAAGAGGATGGCAGGGAGGCTAACAGCCTGGGTATGGGATCTTGGCTCTGGGTAAAGGCCAGGAGCTTGTTGTTGTGGGGTTGATTCTGGTGCTTCGGTTGGTGACTGGAAACTTTAGTCAGTAATTAAAGCAAGCTAGTGCAACACAATGGCATAAATTTACATTCTTTTCCTTTTTTCATTTTTGCCCTTTCTTCCTCCTGTGAGAACTGTTTGCCTAGACTGAAAACACAACCAGCCGGGGTTGATAACACTCCCAGTGTTTTTGAGTTTGTTCCTCTTTCACTCTACTCAGTGTTACATCTTAGCTCATACCACAGCACCACACAAACTGACTTTGTTTTGTTTTGTTTTCCACAACGCGTGAAAATGTTTCGACAGTGTTTTAAACACAGGCTCGAACATATCACATACATTGCATCTTAAAAACAGCATTGCATCACATCCTTCAGTATCTCCAAAGCTGCTGTACATGTATTTGCTTTCCTTCTCATGACTGTCATTCTACAATACATCACACTACTCCTCCTGTGTTCTGTGATGCTGATTATATTCTCATGCTGAACAGTGTGACTGAATATAACCGTGACTCTCTCTAGTTTCCACTGCCAAGAGTCTGGGCTGATATAGGTGCTGCTATATCTTCTCTCATCACCTGTCTTTTCACTTTTCTTTTCTGCACAGGAGAATGCCATTTTATACTACGATTCCAAAGCGGATTCAGACTATGTGAGTACAGTACAGACTGCTTCCCACTTCCCCGTCTGCCTGCCGTAAACCCCAAATCCTACCCAATACGCTACCCACCCTTTCCTGCAACCCCACCCTACCTCTCCCCTCGGCCTCCTCGATGTTGATGCCCCCTTCCCCTCCGGTCACAGGCCCCTGGGCTGTCTGTGTATGTTAGTGAGGTGACACTGCTTTGTGGTGAATTGGTGTGACAGAGCAGGGGTTAGGCCGACGTGCATGTGCAAGTGACTTCAGCTGGCTAATTTCTAGTTTTCTCCTTCACCCTGGACCCTAACCGTGTCAGCTTTAGACCTGAACTATGGGCTTGTCAGACCTCCGTGCCCATCAAGACATTTCGCACAATACATAAGTCATATCATACTTTCATGCACCAGGATACCATTTATATTATGCATGGTATTCATATGGAAGATTATTAAGAGAATTGACTTTCAATGAATGGTCTACAGACTGGGTAGTGCATTTTCCTCCAGAAAGGCCCTGCCAGTCACTGGTTTCACCATTCCACAACTCTGGCTGCAGCCTCAAGTTCCTCCTCAGGTTAGGTCACGCTCGGAGCGCGTGCCCACTGATTCATTAAGTTTCAAGGAGGAGTGTAAGAATCCCCCCTGGATCACCAAAGCGCAAAAATATGTGAAGAGAGGGAGAGGCCAAGAGAGTGCGAAAGCGGTAGAGGAGCAATAAATCATGGCGTGATTTTCTCTTTTTGCACACCACTGCTGTGATTAATGACACAGCACTTTAGGGCCTGTCAGCACATCTAATTGGAGAACATCGGTCATCATTAACTTGGCACGCTGAAACCGAGGCAGTAACACACCCCTGACCCCCACTTCACCATCCCCACAACCATCCAACAACAGCAGCAGAGGTCATTCCTCATCCCCACAGCCCCAAATGTAGCCCCCCAGTATCTGATTCGTGCTCCCTCTGACGATGTCCCTTTTCAATTAAAGCTCTTCTGATGGAGTGAAAACATTGTACTATTAGGGAAATATGATCAAAATTTGAACAAAGGTAAGTGATTCCTAGGCTCTGTTCTTCAGCCTTTGTCTCCTCTGTTCCCTGTCCTGTACACTATACCCTGTTGGTTCCTCCTCTTGTCACTGCACCTTGACATAAAACCACAATGTGCTAAATTTAAAAGTCAGACCTGAATGGATTCCAGCATTGTATTTGCCACTTGTAGGTATATTCACAATTCCGTTTCCATTTGGGTCTTTGGATTAACTAATTATTAAACCGTCCTGTTGTCTGCAAGACAGTATTATGACTTTCAAGTCTCATTGACCATTTGGTTAAAATACACGTATTTTTGAAAAAGCAGACCAGATCAGCCCCCACACACCTCATTCCTCATAAAAGATTAGAATGTACACGGTATAGAAAACATCTCGATTGTAAATGTACACATTATTTGGCCTGCATCCCACTTTCACTTTGTCAGTCAACTATAGTGTATAAAATATACAGTAGTATTACCACTGATTATTCTGTCAAGTCAAAATAAAAAAATTTTTTTGACATATTACCTGTTTTCCTTGCTTGTTAAAAGAGTTTCCATCTGTATCTATAGTAATGACATTCTCATGCTCCTAAGTGACAGGTCTCAGGTTAGCCCTGGTTGGCTGAAGACAGGAATGAAGGAATCTACAAAATGTCATCTCTGGCTTCTTAAGCCTTTGATTAAAGCTTGAGAATGAGGAGATGAAATTAACAAATTGGGTAGCGCATTGAGCCAAACAGGTGGTGGATGGTTGAAGTAACTGAATCAATCAGTCTTTCCTGTGTGGATTTATTCAGCTTCTAATTAGATGCTGCCTTGGTTAATTATGATTGGGCTCTTCTGGGAAAAAAAACCCCCCACTCTGCTCGACATTGCCAGAATTAGTGTCAGACTGACTGATAAACAAACACCTCAATATCATAGTTAGTGCTGTTGAAAAGCCAGCATCTCTAACCCAATCAGGATTACTATTAATTGATAGTCTGTGAATTCTCACAAACTCTTTACTGTGTCAACAAACTTGTACTAAACCAGCATTAATCCAAGGATTGGGGAATCTGTATTTCTGCCACAGAAAAAAGAAAAACTTGTCTTGTTGAAGGCACATCGACATACGGACTGGAGAAGCTAGGCATCGAACCGCCAACCCTCCATTTAGGAGATGACCCGCTTTACCTCCTGACCCACAGCCGCCATGTGGTAGTTAACCTTACAGGTCTTCAAATCTGAGCTGGATACATGTCACTGCCAAACATGAATGTAAACCATCAACACAAAAAGATTGGATCTGACAAAAAGGCCGGAATTGAGCGCTAAGGCCTGCAATGTGAATGTAGCTTAAGATATCAGTCGAGCTCATCTGAATGGGCTTTGTGAGGAACTCAGATGGAAACTTTGTGGGACACTGACACACATCCAGCTTGTGACATGAAAAAAATACAGAAATGTGTTACAGCACCATAACAGATGGTAAAGACAGCCCTGTGTCACTCCTCAGCCTGTTTGATTTTTGGAATCTTAATACTATCATTCATCAGTTTTTCTAACAAGCTTGGTCAGCTGTACATTTTCACATTTTTTTAACCTAGTAGAATTATTCCTCAAAGTAAATTTTGTCAAACCTTAAAATGCTCTGATTTAATGTTAAGAGAAATTGTTTTTACCAAATCCTTAATTTAATGAGCCTCAGCCAGGTATAAACATTTGGAATCACCCTCTAATTATTGGTGTTTAACAAATGATTTGTGTGTTGTAGTCAGGTGTTTTCTCTCCAGTATATACACTTATCTGTCTTGATGTATCTTCCTGGCAATGACTGAAATGACTGCTGATCTCTGTCATAACAATGTATTGTTTCCTGCTGTATGTTGACTTTCAGTGGGACTTCAGCACAACTATCCTCTGGCTCATCCCACCAACAGCTTGTAATTGCATTTTAATAGTCCATTAGAGTTGGCCCATCAATCAATTTCTGCCATGGACATGGGGTTTTGATTTAATTTCTGCAAAAAACAAACTGTTTTTATCATGTCAGGTTCAATTAACCCTTGCTGCTTTATTAAAATAGGCGTATTGCTGTAGTAAATTTGCTTTTCAGCAGTCACAATGCATGAAGAATGATCAGTGATATGAGTTTTGTTTTATAAATATTGAAAAAAACCAAGGCTAATGAAGGATGACTAGTAAAGGAAGAGTGATAGAAGCATTGTGCCAGGCGGCTGATGGCTGCTTCTATACAACAGTCTATTAAAGACCTTGGTGCATAAGCATATATTAATCAAATGTTTATTTCCATGACTCAACTTTTAACTTTTTCTCTTGTTCTGATCTATTACTTTAGGTATGTGGTGTTTTCTGTGAAATTTCTAACAAGATTTTAGTGAATGCTCTAAACATATATAGACTGAAATCAGCTCAAGAATAAGCTGAATAAACTGAACCAGAAAGTGGGGTTGTATCTTGCTACCATTTTTTTTTCCCACATCCCAGAATCACGTCCTTCTGTGGAAACAGGCACAGATTGCACTCCACTGATAGCTTATCTAGATAAAAAGCTTAAATGTCAGTTTTGCTTGTTTCATCTTCTGCCTTTCTTTGATATCTGACACTTTCCTAATGCATTATGTGTCAGGCCTTCTCATCATGTACAATGGCCAGATATGCTCACGTGTCTGTTATGAAGCATGCCATTCATATTGGTTGTGAGACGAAACAGTGATTAAGTGGTGTTGGTTGCTAGTTATTGTTGGCGTTAATCTGTATGGCACCCCATGTCTGTGATAGTCATCACGGGTACTAACATGTCTCTCTGGTTGGTTTCTGTTCACTGATGAGGTGGAAGGAATATAAGCACCTAAATTTGAAGGCAGACAAAAGGCAGAATGAAGTCTATTTTTGTACACTGTCCAAATGCTATGTGAATTTATGGTTGAGTCAGAAAGAAAGACAATATTCTGTATGTACAAGAGCCACAGATGGGAGCTGTAAAGTCACAATGTAGGAGGTGGCAGAATGCGGTTCTGTATTTGCATGTTTCCTTCATTTTTCTGTCCACTCATTTTTGTATTCTCACACAAATTTGTGTGTGTGTTTGCAGATGGAGGACGGAGAAGCTGAGAACCCGCTGGATATCTCATCCTCTTTGGAGCTGGAGTTTATGGACGATCCCAATTTTAAAAACAAGGTCAATTACTCGTCCAGTGCAGTCCAGATTCCTACAGACATATACAAAGGCTGTAAGTATACACAAATACTTGATTAATGTTGTAGTGACCGAAGGTTATTGAGTTTCTACAGTTTAAATTCACGCACTAAAAATGGCCTACCTGCTGCAGAGCTGTCTGTAGACGTTTGCCATACTGACTCATATGGCTGAAAATCTGCATAGCATAATTTCTCTAAATAATGCGTACAATAAGTGTGTGACTGGGCGTGGACCTTTGGTGCAGGTCTTCCCCCTTCTGTGTCCCTCATCCCATCTTCCACAGACCTACTGAATAAAGGCTAATGCCCCCCCGCCAAAAAAAGAGGGAGCCACTTCCAAGATATAACACAAGGACACGATAAGAATTTGTAAAATGTATTTTTTATTTTAATGTCTTTGCTGTTTTGCATAGTGAATAATATGAACTACACAGCTAAGACGTCAGTCCGTTGTATTCACCTTGAATGTCATGTTTACATTGTGCATTCTGGGCTATATATAAAAGAACTACGGGCACAATCAGCAGTTTTATCTGCATCATACTGTACATGCACAAAGACGTTTCATCCTGGTTTCCATGAGAGATGACAGTCTTCTGTCTGGCTTGACCTCTCTCCCCTCTCTCTAAGTACATTAGCTCAATCTCTCTCTCCTTTTTTTGTATCAGCCAGCACTTTAGCAGACTAACATAATTTTAGATGACAGACACTGTCTCACACCAGGTTTGTATTGGTCCCCCCCCCCGCATGGTCTCCCCTGCTCATAGACTCTGCCCTCCTGCCTGGCACCACGCTCCCCCTGCAGGCATAACACCCTCCTTAGTCTGCAGCTGCCAAATGGACAAAAGGGAACACATGTACCTTCCAGGACACTGATTTTGCTTGGCGTGTTACTTCTGTCTCTTTTGAACACCCTCTGCCTGCCTCTTTAAAGACTCAAAACCAGAGCATGTGCAGACAGACAGTCATTTTCACAGCCACAGTTTTTTTTTCTTTGTTATTATCTAGCTCGTCGCCTGCTTTGTTGAACAGGCAGTGTATGGCACCTGTCTGTAACAATGCCTTCCAGCTGTGTCTCCACACAAATCTTGTCAGAATTAGACACTCTTGGTTGAGGAGGAGATGTCAAAGGCCACAGCTAACTCACAAAAGAGTAATCAGGCCTGCACATTGTTCCCAGAGCCATTTTGTGCCAGCTCTGGTTCCCAAGTCTGAAGATATGAGTCAGAGAATAAAGGCCTCTTGATTGTGCCTGGTGCAGACTAGAGGAGTAGAGTGGCACAGCACATGGAATTAGTTTTTTTTTTTCCACTTCTGTGTAAAATGTTTATTGTTGATGTTGTTTAGTTAGCTCCCATCGCGTGGTCTGCTGTACTGAGATTGTCAGCTGCAGGTTTTGTGCCAATTCCATTATGAATACGTGTGCTGTGTTTTAGTCGTTGGTCATAAATAGTGTTTAAAACCATGTTTGTTGCCCAAATATACAGTAATTCTTAGAAACACTTTGCCACCAAGCCAAATACCCCCTGCACAAATGTACATATTACAGACTTCATTCGGGAAATGTTGAACGTACAGTGTAATTTAGACAATGCTAAAGGGCGACTGCGATTTTACACATCAAAATCTGCTTACAAGTCTTGAAGAGCACTACGCCTTAGGTGAACAAAGTTGCAGAAAGCCATTTGTGGCTCCACAGGGAGCTGCGTGAGATCTGATAAATTGCCTCATGTGACATTGGTGTCGGTTGGAGCGAAACGTCTGGGGGTGTTGAGTCAGAAAGAACTGTGCTTACTAGACCTGTGTAGCCCAGAATAGCTTGAAGCTAGAGGCTTGAGTCTACTTTAGCCACCACTACTGTAATACACCTGAAACTTTGACCAACCTGTCAAGTGTCATGACGCATTATGGGTAATGCAACTGCAAGGATTTCAGAAGGAAGAAAATTACATTGATGAAGAAAATGATATCTCTGGTTCTGCTCCATCATTTTTGGCACTCTAACTAGCTTATCATGCTCATGTCGTGGGAGCTGCGTTTGCTTTGGAGAAATGTTAGAAGTGGATTGGTGTCTCTATGTGGTGTTCTGCTCTGGTCCCACCAGTGGGAGTCTGCCAGGTGCCTTGGAGACGATCTCTGAGGAAGCTAATGTGGGCGGATTATTGTCCTCTGGGTCTGGAGAGGTCTAGATCTGCAGTATATCTGTGGGTTTAGGATTAGCAGAAAAGAAGCAGTGTGAGTGGGAAGATTCAGCACTGGTTCTTCAGGGGGAGGCTGGAGCAAAAGCAAAGAAGAGAAAACTGTAGGAAGAATAGAGCTCAGTCCAAGGTACAGCATAACAGTTATTGTGAAAGTGTGGATTACTAGCACCATGCTAATAAACAAGTAGTTGGAGTAGCTTTGTTTGATTTGTCCACATTATTAAGGCACTGGGAAATTTGACTGTTTTTCATAAAATGGCATCAATGGTTGCCCTTGATGATGAGTTGAGAGATGGGCACAGATAGAGGGAAGGACAGAAAAGGGGTGAGAAGAGAGCAAAGCAGAAGAGACACTTTAATAATAAAGACCATTTAGTGCAAAAAACAAGCCTTTTTTGTGATCCTTTCAGCAGCTAAATGAGGCGGTGTATGCGTCCTGGTTTGAGTTGTCTGCTAGGCCCCATGTCCGTTTATTGAGATTGAGAGTGTTCCCTGAGTGCAGT